TGCGGTGAAATGGCCAAATACTACATCTGAAACAGCACGTCAAAACAGGCTTTGGCTTAAAAAAAAAAAAAGTTATTGCAGCTGGTGCCCAGTCATGTGATTTTCATGGATTCTGTGATTATAAAGCAAGAATTGTGCTGCACAAACACTGCTAAAATGCTGGCGTAGGAGTATTATTCACATACTTTTGTGACTAGGGTTCAGCACTGGTGGATGGAAATCATTTTACTTGTCCAGAGATGCTGTCTGCCTACAGAAGCACGTCTGCTCCTGGTTGATTGTGCTGCCGCCTCCCCCTCTCCCTCCCCTCCTTCCCTTCCCTCCAGCCCAATCTCCCCTTCACACGCGTGCGCACATGGGCGCATACATTCACACCCTCATGGGCTATGCATTTTGGAATCACTACCGTAAGTACAAAGGGCTACAAAGGATTAGAAAAATAGCAGGTAGTCTCTTCAGCTGGGCCACAAGCAACACAAAATATAACTGTATAAAACCACAAAATGAATACTATTTTCTTTACAAGCTTTTACAGTCACAACTACAGTACGTTTGCTACAGTTCATAATTTTCTCTCCCCTTGAGAGATTAATACCATATACAGAACAGAAGAAAGCCCATAGAAATGATTTTTCCTATACACGTGTTTCTTCTGTTACAAAAACCAAAGCTATCAAACCTGGTGATAGCAGTGTGTGCACAATCTCAGTTCAGCTGCCACACGCCACTTAACAGCCGCAGCAGTATCAGCGATTGCTGAAATCACTGCTTACATTACATCGGCTCCGGCAAACTGTGGGCCAGGAGGAGGGCATCCCCCTACACGCTAGACATTTAAGATTTTAACTGCATTGTGCATACAGTCACACATTTCAAAAGGGTCTGAAAATATTGTCCAGTTTAATTATAACATGAATTCACAAAGAAAAGCAGAGTTGATCAAATGGGAAAACAACTTCTGGTGGCTTCTGTTCATGTACTGCATTCTGTACAGGCACAAGTAGAGAAAAGTCCAATTCACAGCATTACTGTCTTCCAGTAGCGTACTGTCTTTGCCAAGGATAATACTGGAAAACTCTTTTGGGAAACAAACATTCCCTCCCTGCCCCCCTGCCAAAAACCTGTAACTGATAAATATGAAAAATACCTGAATCATTTCATGCACACAAATAACAATCATCTGGCTCCGAACAAACTGTAATACACTTACAATTTCTTCAAGCTCACCCTAGAGTCCCCATAAATTTCAGTCCCAACAGTAATTCTATCATGCATGTCAAAATATATGGGGAGAAGGAGAGAAAAAAAGGGAAAAAGGCATTGCAAAAGCTCTGAAATCATCATAGCAAAACTTCCAGTTAGGGTCAGGAAAAGATCAAATCAGACTTGTCATAAGAAATCTCTTAAAGCCAGAAATTAAGAAGTACTTACCTTACAGTGCTGTTCCTTTCATCCAGATTGTTAACTTTAGAGTAAATACGCTCCCCATCTTCCTTTAAATCCTCTGCTTGCCTTCTTACTTCAACTGAGACTTCCTAAAAGTGGTTTACAGCACAAGTAAGACACCAAGTCATCATGTTTCAGACTCCTGAAAAATCTATGGTTATGGAACCCCTTATTTGTGGGTTTGCTCTGTTTGAATATACATGAAGTCAACAGCATAGCATGTCTTAAGCTTGTTTGGTTTTAAGTGGTACAGTATTCTGGGTGACCTCTTGCGGAGCACTACCAACCTGGCTGCACTCAAGTTACTGCTCTAATTTGCTGATCTACAGAAGACCATAACATTTATATAATCTTCAGAACTTCTCTTTAGCAAAGAAAAAAAAATGCAGCAAAGAAGTTACCGAAGAGTCACTCACATTTTCAAAGAGGCAAGTACGCACCAGCTTTTGAATCCCTGAGCACGTACTTTAGTTTCTCAGTAAAACACACAACATTGCTGTTCCAGAATTTTATTATCTCACTATCTTCAAACAACCACACCCAAAGCATAGCTTTGCATTACAAACACTGAACCTACAGGAAATTTAATTGCGCATTAGCACTGGAATCATCTGAATCATATATGCGAAACAACATCTTTATTTACTTCAGTCTGTTGTAAGCATCTTCAATGCACTTATCACCATATTTTCCAGGTGCCTAAACAGGTGTCTGCGTTTTGCCCCAGGAGGCCTATACTGAACTTAAAGGCACTGACTAATAAACCAGAAATGCATACATGGAATAGATTATATGATGATTTTTTCTGCTGGGTAGGCAATTATTTAATAATTTAGCTAATTTAATTTTCAAAATAACTTCCAGGTGAATATTTCCAGTGTTTGGAATCTCTACCCTAGTAAATTACCCACATAGTTAAGTCTGCACAGAGAGTTCAAAAATAACTTTTGCAAAACTTAAAGACATAAAAAACTTAGAGTCCACAACTTTCAAAGATGTACATATCTTATCTTGCTTCTTGCTGATCTGTTCTCATTCTACTCCCTGTATATCCACACACAGAGGTGCTGAGTTGATGTGTATGTATGTATGCATGTAATGTTTTTACCAAGAGGAAAAAAAAAGGAAGAAATAATATACAACTGCATTGCCTCAATTCTTTTCTTACATAAGGTGAAGTTCAACACAGGTTGAACACAATATGACTCCTTATACATATCAGGCAATCTTGTAGCAGCTTGAACATCTTTTAAACAGAGAACTTAAGAGACTTGGTTTCTCTGTTTACTTCCCCTGCCACCTGCCAACCATTCCCTGCCCCTGCTCAGTTAAAAATTAACTCAATATTTACTCAAAAGTTGAATAGACATTTGGCATCTCTCTAAGGAATAAATTTATACATCTTAAATCAAGCAAACTGACATAAAATAAAACACTAAGCAGTTTCATTTATTGCTGTGGTGTAGCTTTACCTGCATATTTTTAATCTCTAAACTTTATTAGGCAGAATTTTCATCCTATGTAGCTTTTGCATCAAGCAAGTTTAAAAGAGGAAATCCATGGAAAATGGTTAGACCATTAACAAAAATTAGACAAAAGTAGATATTATATCCCCTCGGAACATTTTTCTTAGTTTCTTAGTTTCAGAAAACTGAAAGCCTTAAAATGGGGAAGGCAGCCACACAAATGAAGAAATAACTCTGGGTGAAGATAGCTTTGATCCTCCTATACCTCTACTGTAAAAAAAGAGAATAACATCAAATCAACCAGGTTGTTTTCTTCCACCTGGCTACAACTCACAAGAAATTACTTGATCCAATTGCTTTTTGCTACACTCAATTCCTGCACGATACAAACTTTGATCTTCTTCATTTTTCTTGACAGCTACCTATAACAATTATTCCCTTAGTAGCAAAAGGCAAACATCACACTACATTGTGTTCCTAAACTGGAAATTTTCACAACAGTTATCTCATTTCCCCCTCCGCCACTTTCCTGCCCTCTCCCCGGGCAATTTAAAGGATAATGGGAAAGACACTTGTACCTGTTTGTAGAAGTCAGTAGAAGGGGATGATCTAGACCTCTCATGGGTGTACTGGGTTTTCTCATGTTGTTCATGGCCTGCATCGAGGATATTATCAGCTGAATGGTACCTCCCTGAGCTCCTTGGCTCTATCGGCTTCCGCTGCTCCTTCCATGACGCCTGATACTCTGCAAAGGTTCCCAGGCGCTGTGGCTGTTCAGATTTCACAATCCTATCAGTAGCCTTATTGCTGCTACTGTGGTGGACGTTATCTTTTGAAGCATGTGCAGTTTCAAGTCCAACAGAGGCTGCCCGACCTCTTCTCTCATACCATGACTCCTCTCCCTCTTGTCCACCCTGAGCTTTCTTATCCAGCCTCTCAGGCTGTTCCTCAGCAAGACTGTGGGGAGCTGGTTTCTGTGCCAGTTTCCTATACGCAGGCTTACTTGTTTCTTCAAAAAATTTCCACCTGTCTGCAAACGAGCCCAGGGCTTCTTCAGATGTATTTGGACGGCAATGAGCATGGCACTCATCCTCTGACATTCCCACCTCATTCATCTTTTCTGGTTCAGAGTAAGACTTCAGTTTTTGCTCTGTTGTGAACCTCTTCCTGGCTCCGATGCGAGAAACGTGATGAGTGCCACTCCCTGTAGGGTTCGGTTTAGCTTGTGTAGCCTCGAGGAATCCAGACGCATCTTCAGAAACCAAAGCCAATAACGAAGAGTTGTAACTACCAGTTTTCCGCTCGGGTGACCTGGGGAGATATTCAGCAGGGCTGGGCTCCAAGTCCCGCCGTTTGAAGGACGTCGCCCTCAGAACCCTGGCCTGTGCTTCCTTGAGGTGATCTTTGTAGGTGCTGGTAAAGTTAGTGTCTGGGGGCACGGTGACATTTTCTGCTGAATCTGGCTTCCAGGTCTCATTGCACTCCTCTGTTTCAGATGACCCTACTAACGTAGCAGTGCTTCTACTTTTCTGCAGCTTTGCTCTTCTCATTTGGATCTCATTTCTCAGTGTTGTTGCAAAACGATCACTCCTTCGTGCCTGTTTAGACAAGTGAGTGTCAAATGAGGCCTGACGCTCTGTTACCAACTCTGGGCTGTTGTCAGACTGTTTTTTCCCTTCCTGAGCTAAAGAGTGCAACATTGGGGTCTTCTGAGGAGAAATCTTGCTACTCTCATCTTTACCCCACCTAAAATCTTTCTGAGCAGATCTGTTTTCAGTGGTAAGGACAGAGCCCTTTACAAACTCCTGTTGACAATACCTAGTTTCACTTTCCTCAGAGCTGCTCTCAAAGTTTTTCTTTTGTCCAGACTTTTCAGTATGATTGGGTTTTTTAGCTTCTTCCACTACAGGACACCTAGCATCTTCCTCCCTGTCCACTGGGTAATGACTACTGTTCTCACACCCTTTCAGTGAAGATTCAACAGATTGTTGAGGTAGACAGTATTTTGGTTTTTGGACCATTGTGACAACTGCAGGATTTTCGTGAGGTCCAAGCGATGCATCAGTCCCCACTGCAGGTTTCCAGCTGTCATCCTTGAATTGTAGTGGCTTTGAGCTTCCCTGAGCAGGCTGTTTTGCCGTCACGCAATAATAGCGGCTCTGTCCAGTGTTGTCCACCTTCTGTTCAGCAGCACTGTTCGAAGAAGAGGAAGTGTTGAGCACACTGGCTTGGTTTGGACTATAGCCATGGAAATGATCATTAGGTAACTCCTGAATGCCACTATAGGACAGATAATGCTGCTGATCTTTAGGTGCAGCTAAGATTCTTGCATTGGGAAAAAAAGTGCTTTCATCACTGTACTGGTGCTGGTGGTGGTAACTGTAAGCAGGCTGTGCAAACCGAACATCAGTGCTAGACAAGGACGACTGCAGTTTGTTCACAGCTCCTGCATTACTACTGTACCTTTCACCAGTTGAAGAAAAACTGTATTCTGAACTGAGATCAGATTTATAATTAGAACTGCTGACCCTCCTGTCACATGCTCTGGAGGGCCGCCGCTGCTGCTCCACAGTTTCCAAGTTCCAGTCACTCCTGGGCTGAGACCAGTTCAGGGCTGGAAAGTGCTGTGTGCTGGCACCTTCTGAGTACACAGGGCCATGGGCTTTCTCATGGCCTTTGGTAGCAGCAAAGCTGTCACTACGAAGAGGTGGAGGTGGGGGGGGAGGAGACGAAGACTTCTTCTTATCAGGAACATACCAGACAGGTCCAAAACTGGATCTTCCAGAGCTAGTCAGCTTGCTATCGGGGTGTTCCTCTATTCTAGGACTTTTGTTGTTCTCATATTGGATGGGAGCTGGCAAATACCCAGGTTTGTCCTCTATTCCACTGTTGTCATTTAAAAACTGGCTGGACTTGTTTCCATGCTTAGCAGTCTCCCAGTGGCCTACTTTGTATAGCATGTTCTCTGTTGAAGAAGTGTCTGCATTGGATAGAGTGTGGTCAGGGGTGCTAGAACTCGTGGAGAAAGACCCGTAGGCTGAATCCCGCTTACTTTGGCTCCCTAGATGATCAATACTACTATTAGACCTTGCAGAAGAAAGTCTTCCATACTGGGCTACTTGTGGAGTGTGGTCCCAGCTGTCCATACTTCCCAAAGAGCTGAATTGGTCAGAAGTGCGATGTAGACTTGACTGATCCCATGAGTTTGAGAGGTCATGAGAAGAACAACTACAGTAGAAAACAAAGAAAAAGCTTCAGCATAAACATACCAGTCAAAAAATGCCGCAACATAATTATAAATATATAGCCACCAATTTTACTACCATTGTTTTAAGATCTGTCTCCATAGCAGTTACTCATGACAATCTAATAAAATTGGAAGTTTGAATGCAAAGCGAGGGCTTTATCTTTATACTCTGCCACTGATTCAAAGCTTGAAACATTACTAACTCAACTTCCCTTTGTAAGTTTACCAATAAGTAATACACGTTTATCTCCTTGAAGGCTCCCCTCCCCCTCTGCAAACTGTTGATTTTGATCACTTTACTTTTAGACCAATTTAGTTTGAGCTCTACTAGCTCCCTCTTCCTGAGAGCAAACACCAACTTACTTTTCAGCTTATTTTCCAGGTACCCCAATTCCTCCAGATATTAAACTCACATAGTTCCCTGTTCATCTTTTGTAATCTCACTCTAAACTTCTTCAGTGCATAAAGTTATTCCCTTGCATGTTTATCCAAATCTGCCCATTCATTTAATATTTTCATTTCTAAACGGAGGTTCACTAAAAACATCTGCCTCAAATGCCACCATTTGAGTTTTGAGCTTCCACACGCACCTTGCCAATGTGGTTTCAAACCACTCTCAGGCTGTCATGCTTACAACAATGTCATTCAATTCCACTCAGTTCCACAACAGTGACAGGAAAATGTCAGGAGGAGATGCCAGAGCAACATAAGCTCTGCATGGCCAAAACTAAACTTCTGACCTTCCTTCAAGAATCTTTATCACC